TTGAAAACCTTCCAAATATTATTTTATCTTCTTGAACAATTATTCAGCAACATTTAGAAATAAAAATCGTGTATATAACGCCATTTTTAAAAGCACAGGAGGCGAAATACCTACCCACCCCCTGCCGTTTTTTATCATTATTTATTGCTCTATCGCTTCTCCGTTCTTGTATAGTGCTTTTATAGACAATTAAAATATTTAATCCTGCTTGAAATTTAATGCTCTTTTGAATAAAATTAATGCCAAGTCTCTATCTTAATCCGTATAGGACCTAGAGGCGAAAAACCGACCCCCCCTACCCATCCGCCAGGGCGCGCTTTTGCGAAATTCCAATAATAATTAATTAAAACCTTATTTCTCGTCGCCTATGGCTTTGAAAACCTTCCAAATGTTATTTTATCTTCTTGAACAATTATTCAGCAACATTTAGAAATACAAATCGTGTATATAACGCCATTTTTAAAAGCACAGGAGGCGAAATACCTACCCCACCCCCTGCCGTTTTTTATCATTATTTATTGCTCTATCGCTTCTCCGTCCTTGTATGGTGCTTTTATAGACAATTAAAATATTTAATCCTGCTTGAAATTTAATGCTCTTTTGAATAAAATTAATGCCAAGTCTCTATCTTAATCCGTATAGGACCTAGAGGCGAAAAACCGACCCCCCCCCCCCTACCCATCCGCCAGGGCGCGCTTTTGCGATATTCCAATAATAATTAATTAAAACCTTATTTCTCGTCGCCTATGGCTTTGAAAACCTTCCAAATATTATTTTATCTTCTTGAACAATTATTCAGCAACATTTAGAAATAAAAATCGTGTATATAACGCCATTTTTAAAAGCACAGGAGGCGAAATACCTACCCCACCCCCTGCCGTTTTTTATCATTATTTATTGCTCTATCGCTTCTCCGTTCTTGTATAGTGCTTTTATAGACAATTAAAATATTTAATCCTGCTTGAAATTTAATGCTCTTTTGAATAAAATTAATGCCAAGTCTCTATCTTAATCCGTATAGGACCTAGAGGCGAAAAACCGACCCCCCCTACCCATCCGCCAGGGCGCGCTTTTGCGAAATTCCAATGATAATTAATTAAAACCTTATTTCTCGTCGCCTATGGCTTTGAAAACCTTCCAAATATTATTTCATCTTCTTGAACAATTATTCAGCAACATTTAGAAATAAAAATCGTGTATATAACGCCATTTTTAAAAGCACAGGAAGTGAAATACTAACCCCACCCCCTGCCGTCTCTTATTATTATTTATTGCTCTATCGCTTCTCCGTTCTTCTATGCTGCTTTTATAGACAATTAAAATATTTAATCCTGCTTGAAATTTAATGCTCTTTTAAATAAAATTAATGCCAAGTCTCTATCTTAATCCGTATAGGACCTAGAGGCGAAAAACCGACCCCCCCTACCCATCCGCCAGGGCGCGCTTTTGCGAAATTCCAATAATAATTAATTAAAACCTTATTTCTCGTCGCCTATGGCTTTGAAAACCTTACAAATATTATTTTATCTTCTTGAACAATTATTCAGCAACATTTAAAAATACAAATCGTGTATATAACGCCATTTTTAAAAGCACAGGAGGCGAAATACCTACCCCACCCCCTGCCGTTTTTTATCATTATTTATTGCTCTATCGCTTCTCCGTTCTTGTATGGTGCTTTTATAGACAATTAAAATATTTAATCCTGCTTGAAATTTAATGCTCTTTTGAATAAAATTAATGCCAAGTCTCTATCTTAATCCGTATAGGACCTAGAGGCGAAAAACCGACCCCCCCTACCCATCCGCCAGAGCGCGCTTTTGCGAAATTCCAATAATAATTAATTAAAACCTTATTTCTCGTCGCGTATGGCTTTGAAAACCTTCCAAATATTATTTTATCTTCTTGAACAATTATTCAGCAACATTTAGAAATAAAAATCGTGTATATAACGCCATTTTTAAAAGCACAGGAGGCGAAATACCTACCCCACCCCCTGTTGTTTTTTATTATTATTTATTGCTCTATCGCCTCTCCGTTCTTGTATGGTGCTTTTATAGACAATTAAAATATTTAATCCTGCTTGAAATTTAATGCTCTTTTGAATAAAATTAATGCCAAGTCTCTATCTTAATCCGTATAGGACCTAGAGGCGAAAAACCGACCCCCCCCCCTACCCATCCGCCAGGGCGCGCTTTTGCGAAATTCCAATAATAATTAATTAAAACCTTATTTGTCGTCGCGTATGGCTTTGGAAACCTTCCAAATATTATTTTATCTTCTTGAACAATTATTCAGCAACATTTAGAAATAAAAATCGTGTATATAACGCCATTTTTAAAAGTACAGGAGGCGAAATACCTACCCCACCCCCTGCCGTTTTTTATCATTATTTATTGCTCTATCGCTTCTACGTTCTTGTATGGTGCTTTTATAGACAATTAAAATATTTAATCCTGCTTGAAATTTAATGCTCTTTTGAATAAAATTAATGCCAAGTCTCTATCTTAATCCCTATTGGACCTAGAGGCGAAAAACCGACCCCCCTACCCATCCGCCAGGGCGCGCTTTTGCGAAATTCCAATAATAATTAATTAAAACCTTATTTCTCGTCGCCTATGGCTTTGAAAACCTTCCAAATATTATTTTATCTTCTTGAACAATTATTCAGCAACATTTAGAAATAAAAATCGTGTATATAACGCCATTTTTAAAAGCACAGGAGGCGAAATACCTACCCCACCCCCTGCTGTTTTTTATTATTATTTATTGCTCTATCGCCTCTCCGTTCTTGTATGGTGCTTTTATAGACAATTAAAATATTTAATCCTGCTTGAAATTTAATGCTCTTTTGAATAAAATTAATGCCAAGTCTCTATCTTAATCCGTATAGGACCTAGAGGCGAAAAACCGAACCCCCCTACCCATCCGCCAGAGCGCGCTTTTGCGAAATTCCAATAATAATTAATTAAAACCTTATTTCTCGTCGCCTATGGCTTTGAAAACCTTCCAAATATTATTTTATCTTCTTGAACAATTATTCAGCAACATTTAGAAATAAAAATCGTGTATATAACGCCATTTTTAAAAGCACAGGAGGCGAAATACCTACCCCACCCCCTGCCGTTTTTTATTATTATTTATTGCTCTATCGCTTCTCCGTTCTTCTATGGTGCTTTTATAGACAAATAAAATATTTAACCCTGCTTGAAATTTAATGCTCTTTTGAATAAAATTAATGCCAAGTCTCTATCTTAATCCGTATAGGACCTAGAGGCGAAAAACCGAACCCCCTACCTGTCAGCCAGAGCGCGCTTTTCGAAATTCCAATAACAATTAATTAAAACGTTATTTCTCGTCGCGGATTGCTTTGAAAACCTTCGAAATATATTTTTATCATGTAGTACAATTATTCAGCAACATTTTGAAAAAAAATTCGTGTATATATCGGCATCTTTAAAAGCTCAGGAAGCGAAATACCTACCCCACCCCCGTGTTTTAAATAATTATTTTCATTGAAATGTAATTATTATCTTAAATAATTAGTTTTACTTGCTATACTTTACTTTCTGGGGTTTTAAATTAAAGAACATAAAATTGCTAATATTTTGACACCAAATATATATTAATATCTTTAAAACAGTCCAAGTTACATGATATTTAGTTTCGTGATTATCTCCGATTTTCTGATTTCTCGGTATTTCCGGTTTAATAAGGCCTTTATTTATTGACCGAAATATTAATTCTTGGTATCATTGTGAAGATCTCATCAATATCTATCAATATTAATCAAGTTTTAATATTTAAATGTTCAAATTCAAAAGATATTACCATTAGAAGTTAAAAGAAATGAAAACCGGAAGGGGGTGGGGATGGAGAATGATGGAGAATGCATACTTCCGGTTCAAAAATTATTATTTTTTTTACATGATTGCTTCGAGCAATAATTTACCAACATTTTGATACCAAATTTATAATTATATCATAAAAAATAAAAAAGTTATAGGCATTTTATATTAAAAAATTTCGGAAAATTTCTTCCGGTCCGCCATTTTCTCAAAAATCTGAACTTCCGGCGCCCATAACTCCCTTATTTATGGGTCGATTTTCAAAAACTTGATATCTATGTTTCAAGCGTGTCAAGATCTACAAGAATACGTAAAAAAATTTGGTGTAGATATATTAATGTGAAAGTTATGGGGAAAATAAATTAAAATTTTTCAAACAAATAAGGGGGTGGGGTTGGAGAATGATGGAGAATGGGTATTAAATGTTGATCGATTTTAATGAAATTTTGCACACTAAAATTAGATACTTTAACCTTGATTTTGACACCAAAAATAATAAAATTTGATTACCGGTTAAAAAGTTATTAGCGCGTACTTTCGGAGAATTTTCGGAGAATTCGGAGAATTGACACCTAGGCCCCCAAAATCAAAAAAAAAAAAAAGTGGCCCTAAAATGCCTTAAAATGGTCTAAAATGCCTAGAAACACCCAAAAAATTTTGCAAAAAAAAAATTCCTGAAAAGGTGATTCCTAAAGGTCAACCTGTTGAGCCGCACTTTGATTTACACTGTCGGGCGACATTTACGAAAACCAAACACCTTAATGTCGACCGACCGACGACCGACTTGACAAACCGTCTGCTGATGGTCGGATGATAATCGAAGGTTGGGTTGGTCGACGGACTATTCAATGACTGCTTCAATTGAAGAAATCGGCAACAGACGCAGAAAAAAATATAATTGGGCCCAACGAACACGAAATTGGTCGGCCGACAAAAAAGAGGTCAAAATCGGGCAAGAAAACGGCCGATGAACTGTCGACTGTCGCCAAAATAACCCCATTTTTGCCTTAAAGACCTCGGCCGACGGTCGTTTTTTTTTTGGATATATGACTGGGGTTTAAGGGAAATGTGTTGTGTTTTTTAAATAAATGTTTTAGGAAACAAACTGACAGTACTATACACTTTTGTGTTGAGAAGCATTATCTATTCAGTATGTTAAAACCACTGTCGTTCATCCTACTATTTGTCTACCTGGCTTATGGCAATGAATCATGTGACCGGAAGGAGATGGAAGATACAATATGTAGCCTCTGTGGACAAAGAAAAGGAAATCATCTAACTGGATCAGGTAAATTACATTATTGTCTTTAAGGGAAGTTCTTATTAGTTAACATCTTCTATTAATATCTCTGGTCAGAAAACATTTTTATTGACCTAATATTACTTACCCAATCTTATAAAATAACTTACATTATGTTATGTATTTTTCTTCTCTCTAATGATCTGAGCAAAAACCAAAACAATTAGCAACTTCCGTTTATATAACTATATAGTTTTCTTCAACACTCTAATAAAAGTGGAATAAAAGTTGTCTTAATTTATCAGGTAAACAAGTTGCATTTTATGCATCCATGTCTAGCAACGTCCAGATCAAGACATTTTCCAAATATAAAATATTTGTTTATGATCGTGTTGAGACAAACATTGGAAACGGATATGACGCCAAATCGGGAAAATTCATCGCTCCAGAAAGCGGGGTTTACGTCATACACACAACGACTGTTGCGTTCGATAGATCCTACAGCATTATAGAAATAGTACAAAATGGCGTCATTAGGGACGTGGGATTGGCTGACGCCTACAACCACAGCGACAGAGCTTCTTCCTCTACCTTAACAATTTTGAATTTGAAGAAAGGAGATGTCGTAAATACTAGAGTCGGCTCATCCTATGGAGGACACTACCTAGAGAGCAACACATGGGCGCGAATGAGTTTCTCCGGATTTAAACTCATGTAAAATGAATTATCTGGAATTAAATTGTTGTCTTTGAAGATAATCATTTAGCAACTTCTGATTTAATGCTTCATTACTAATATAGGTTGTCGCCCGCGTGGCGCAGTGGTTAGAGCGTTCGCTCTAGAGTCAAAGAGTAAGGAGTTGACCCTTACGTCGCGGGTTCGAATCCCACTTTGGGACGTGGAGACCGGTCCTTCGGATGAGACCGTATAAACCGAGGTCCCGTGTCGCAGTAGATGCTAACACGAAAAAGATCCCTCACTGCTCAATGGCCCTGAGTGCCGAGTATAGGTAAAAATTTGCAGCACTCCACCGGCAAGTGGTGGCGTCTCCATATGAGTGAAAAATTCTCGAGAGGGACGTTAAACGATAAACAAAAAAAACTAATATAGGTTAAAAAAAAACACCACATACTTAATAGATCTAATACAGAATTACAAACATTGTAAAATTGTTGAGATGGACATGAAATAACAATAATATTCTTTTTTAAAGAGCACGATGACCGACTTCACACATTGCACAGCTGGAGAACATTCAGTGCAAGTGTAGCATAAAACCTCGCTAGAACTAAGTGTACCTAATACAGATGAGACCCAAAAACATTTGATGCCTTTTTCATTAAAGTTATCCAACTTTGAGGTCAAGAAATATAGTAGTAGCGCATTCCTGGGTATAGTTTAAGATGACCTAGGGGGTAAAATCCTTGTTGAATTGTCTGTTGCATTATGCCTCTCTTGATTTCACCATTATCATTTGCCTTAAAGTATTCGTCAAAACAAGCAACATATACCCTTTTTTTTATTTGTTTGTAAAGATATTTCTGTAACCGCCCTACCCCTGTCAATGTATATAATAGTCGATTTTAAAACAAACGGAAGGATAATCATATCTGTGAGTGCCTTCAAAGATTTACCTTTGGTATACATGTGATTGCAATCATTACAGGCTTAAATTGGCAAATGTGTATTCTTATAGAATCATTGTATTTGTGTCTTTTCAAAAGGATAAGATGACTAAAACTATATTAAACTTAAATTTTATCTCTCAAGCGAATGTCCAAATTGAAATTTTGGAAAGACTGAGGTGATTTTGTGGTATTTTTCTCCAAAAAGCAGTTGTTATATATCCTAATTTTTAAGATTTGATGAAAAATTACGTACCTTTCTCCTAAATTTTTAAGTGGAACTAATAGTTATATGCAAGCATGTTTAGTACATGGTATCGTTTATTCTGTCAATAATGCAGCTTTGAGTAGCTTGTCGATTCATGACTTCGCTTTGTTAGTTGCTGTAACCAGTAAATATTTAGATATACATAAAAGTAAATAATTAAAAGGTCGTGTTAAGGGCGTAATGCGAGCCAAATATCCTCCACATTTTTCTTCAGGATAATGCCGAATATTTTTAGTCCGACAACGACAAAAAAGAGCAATTTTTGAAGAGAGTTTCATGCTATAGAAGAATTGAACATTACCATTATTTTGGTATCAAATCCAAGTAAATTAAAAGTGCAGATATATCTGCAGATTTAGTTAAATTGAAACAAACCATCATGATCAGCTGCATGAAAAGGATGCAAAACTGAGAGCTCTAAGTCTCTTTTTGGTTGAATGGCTGTAATATTATAACGTATAGTGAAGTGTAGTCATTCGTGGAAGATTGCATAAAGTTATGACAGTGGAAAAGATAAGATGTTGAGGTGTTCAAAGAAAGAGAAGATACCGTTGAAGGGATACTAGTAATAAAATTGGAAGCATTACTTGAACTATTTCTGGCACCGCTGATATAGGCTTAGGCGACCAAGTAGAATGGTTTTTTTATGTACTGAAATTATTTTACCTAAACATCTTACACTGAATTCAGATGCTTTTTAAGCCACCTTTGGTTAGTACTAACTTATATTTCTATACGTCACATAAGAGTCAAAGACCTAGTATGTATGTGCGTTTAAGGGATGCCAGATTACTGTAAATGTATAATATTTGGCGTGTACTATATTTGATGGACGTTTTGCTATACCCGGATATTCTACTTACCTATACGATGACATCGTTGTGAGCAATATTACGTGAACTTAATTAACGAGGTTCGCTCCTTAGCTTTTGAGCAGATTTTTATCTTGCCCTATATTTCAAAAATTCTGCACTATGTTTTGGTTCTTACAATAAATTTGGATTCTACGTACAGTGCCAATTAAACTATATTCAGTCAAAACTCCTTGATTAAACTCCATACCAAAAGCATTAAGTGAGGAACTATATTTTGTGGCGGAAGGTTTTTTTTAAAGAAGAAAATGATCATTTTTTCTCTTTCGAAGTATTCAAAGTATGTTTAGCTTGGATTCCTATTTTTCCATGCAGCCTGCGCACAGAGTTATTCTGAGCCGTGAACTGTTTTATGCTTGTCCTAAATTATATATTGAATAAACTCTCATGAACTCTATCATCATATTTGATAAATATAGCATATATATTGTGAAAATCCAGGAAAAAATAGCCCTAATTTAAGCTTAAAATTAGCACTATTTTAGTAATGTCTAAAAATTAACATCCCACTTTTAATTTTCTTTTCTGATAATATAAGATACTTTTAACCATTCTTCTTAAATCAGTAAAATGTTATTACTTTCAAATGATTTTATTGCTTATTAAATTTTTAATGCCAGAAAAATGATATTTTTGAGTGCAAAAAGGTCAAATAATTAAACATGCGAAGAAATTTTAAAAAATTTTTGTTGTCACAAATTTAAATGCGATTGTTCCCATAATTTATTTGAATAAAAAATATTGGAGGAAAACCTTTTAAAATTGATTTATGTGTTAGACGTATTTACAGGTCAAACTAAATGCTCTGTAGCGCCAAAAGAAGCGCACTGACCCTATTTTTTGTTTTGATTCTTAATTAAGCTATGTGTGTAGATTCTAAAAATATACTTGATAAAGAACTCTAATTACTTTGATGGCAGGATCCAACTTCCTTAAGCGATAACAATTGCTTACTATCTATGTTTAAAAATTTATTTCAATTCCTAGAAATGGATGGGAAAATGCGAAAATGTCTTCTTCATCAGGACAAACAGAATTTTCGCCCTGTATATAATTTGCCCTGTTTATGAAGTAGCGAAACAGACAAAACACCAGATTATGTTGCGAAAAATTTTTTACTCAAATTGAGGTAAAAAATTTTAAAATTAAAACTAGTAAAATACATACATGTAAAATACAAAAGCATATAAAACATGATTACATAATGAATTATTACTAAAAGGACGAAAAACATGCAAAACACCTTTAAAGGTAACAAATACATAATCACCATAATACGACATCACAAAGAAAGCTTGGCCTTGTAAGAGGTCAACAGCCCTAACCCATCTTATATTTATACAAAAACACAAGGTATTCCCAGACCTCATTTTAACAAATAGGTACAATATTTTTTATTTTAATTTGTACAAAATAATTTGAACAATTTATTTTTAAGATAAAGCTTGGGGAGTTACTAGCTCTTGTAAACTGTAAGCTTTTAATACGATAATAAAAATTGTCAAATTTGCAGAGGTAAATTTTGAACAATGGTTTTTATAACAATTTTAACACGTGACTCGACTTTTAAAACTACTAGCGAAAGTACCACTTCGCATCGTTCAGACAACAATCAATATGAACATCCTTCTTAGCTAGCTAACATTTCTCGCATACGCTATTGTATTACTAACATATCCAGAATTCGATGAGATATCCACTATAGGTATTTCATAACTAATTCAAGGTATATTTTATTAACAATCATCTTGAAATCTAATTTATACTGGACAAAAATATTAGAGTAAATATCCTACATTTGTATGTTAAACTATAATGTGTCGATCTCTTCTAGCAGAACTATCATCAATGCGGCTTTTTGTAGTATTGAATTGATAAATCAGCTATGATTATCACGGTTTCAATCAGAAAACAAAAATAAGCATTAGATAAGCAGAATTAGCATTTAAAGAATTCAGAGTACTTCCTGTAACAGGAATGAGTTCCGTACCAGTAAATATCCTATCATGTTTGTTTCTCTTCTATGTAAGTTAAGTTTAAATGGCTGAAATAAAAACACTTCTCTCAGGCCATCATTAAAAATATCTTTGTTTCCCCTAACCCGACCCTAAAATCTCAAGTTGGGTAGGTAGGTAGGTTAATAACTTTTTTTCTGACAGGAACTTTTAAACATTATAAAATTATATAAATTTATATATAATGGAATACATCCTTTATAAATAAGAAAAGTACAAAGAAAACGATTTGTTAACAGAATTATCACACCATTACCAATGCTGTTTTTAAGTAAACTTTAAGGTAAATTAATTCATAATTATTATTCAATTGAACTTGTAAAATTCTCATGCCAGTGTAAATTTATTGAAATCAAATTTTTAAAAGACGAGATTCTCGGATAAGCAAATACCGGACATGCGAGTATATTTTCCAAACCTACTTCCGACTTCCAGTGCAGTGGTTCTAGAGCGTTTCGTTTTGGAGTCTTGAAGTAAGGAGCTAATTCCAAGTCGCAGGTGCAAATCCAATGGGGAACATTGAGACTAATCCTTCGAATTAGACTGTAAAAACTTAGGTCCAATATCACTGAAGGTGCTGGCAGGAAAAAGATCCATCACTGCTCAATGGCAAAAAGTGTCGAGTGCAAGTCTAAATTTGCAGTCCTTCACCGGGCAAATGTTCAAAAGTTGTCGTACCAACAATTCTCAGAGGAATTTAAAGCAAAAACGTAACCAATTTTCAAAGGCCAAATTAGAGAAAATGCACTGGAAGTCTCAGAAAGCTGTACCATGATTTCAAAACTATTAGGAAAGAGTATGTTAACAATATTTAAGTGAACCAAATCATTTCTAATATTCCAGTTTGTCCCGGGCAAACGCGTCCGGTTTTGACCTGTCCCGAGTATTGAAAAATTAGCGAAAATTTCAATTATCGATATTTCTTTTTGCAATTGTCATAATAT